TTTTTTCTGTCCGTTAGCATACTTACAAGCTACTTTGGTTGACTGCAAACGTGGACACTTATGCTGAATATAATGTCTCACGCAACAGTTTTCCTACAAAGTTAACTCAGCCTCCATTGATTTGCATATCAAATTAGCGTGTTAATAAAATAAGCTATCATGGCTTATACTTGCATATTTAAACAGAATCATGAAAGCCTGTCGGTAGAGTCAGGCACACGAGTCAGTTTGAGTGTGTGCGCCGGTGTCTGAACGCTCACTCACTACTAGCTTTGTAGCTAACTGTTAGGCTACTTAGCTTGCATTGTTATGGATCTAAAGGTAGCAAAAGCTAACTTTCATAGCACAGCTTTACTTCTCACTTACCACAATAAAGAAACAGACCGTATAGTACAGCACAAACAACACAAATGATCAATACTTACATATATTTTCACTTGTAGTATTATAATAATTGAAATACTGGTTCTTCTGGGGGTGTTCTATCCACGCTCAGGCAGCCACCGCACCGCAGCTGCCTGCACAATCGCTGGAGGACTGGGCTGTCACTCAAAAACTGAGTAGCCAATGGGGACGCACCCCTGAAAGTCCCGCCCACCTGGGAGGTTTGTGTCAGAATCTCAAACAAAAAATGAGGGAGCGCAAAAGAGAAAGCTGCAGCGAGAGCAAAAGTCTGATCATTGAGAAAGAAGAAACAAGAACTGTAAACAAAAACCTATGTTAAAACAAAGAAAAAATACTTATAGTTTACATGATTACACAAATGATTTGTTTGCAACTTATAGTTTAATTTTTTTTAATTTATTTTATTTTGCTTGACTCATTTTTTTTTTCTTTTAAACTCATAGTTTTGCTTTATTCTGAGAAAGTGTTGCTTTATCTTTATGATACAAAACTAATCCCATATACATCCTGTTAGGTGGAACTAACAGGATTGCCGACAAACAGCAATGGCTCCACCCTTTTTCTAAAGAATATCATGCTGCTGTGGAAAGCCCTCGGCAGGAGAAAAGTAAGTCAAAAACAATCAGGTGTTATATTGTTGGTGGAGAATATAATGGTATTATGATGGTCTGGGACTCATCATATTGGTCCTGGTTATGGTTTATTGTTTATCTCTTTCATGTCAGCGAAGTTTGTACTTTAACTTACAGATTTAAGCAAACGAACTGGATCAATGTGAATGCAAACAATGTGGAAGAATTAGAAAACACTTTTTTTCTTTGGTATTAAGAGCAATTTTTCAGGAAGTAAGAGGTTGTGTTTTTCATTTAGATATGACGCTTGGCAGCTGTGGACCAGTGTGCAAGCTGAGGTCAAACAAAAGCTTGGCAACCCTTTGTTTGCTTTTGGCGGTGGCACTTTTATTAATCTATGACCCATTTCTACTCATCTGGTGGCCTCAGAATCCTGCTGAGGTGGGAGGACAGTTCTTCATTTTACATGCAGCAATACATTCACATTTGACCTGTCTCTTGTGTCAGAAGATGTACACTATATATTCTAAAGCCTTCTGTAACTGTTGCTCACTGTGGCTTTTCTTATCTGTCCCTGCAGAAAAGTGTTGCTTTGCCTCTGGATATGGCTACGGATTCCATTGACGACATGTATGAGGGTTGCCGGTCTCAAACAGCCTCAGTGATCGACCTGTTTGGCGTGTTTGAGTGGCACTACAATAGAAACTTCAGCATTGCCTGGGCTTTAGTTGAAAGCAGTGCAAAGAAACCTGTCCACACACAGCTGAAAGAAGACCATGCCATAGTACTTTACATGTACACAAAGCTGAAATATATACAACACGTCTTTAACCAAGCAGTGAAAACAGGGAAACACAAGTACAGCACATATACATTTAGGTTCCACTATTTCTACTTCTTCCTCACTGATGCAATTCAAGTTCTGCGTGAAAACCAGACATTGTGCAGAACCACATATCACAGGACATGGGAACTGTTTGACCACAATGTCATCAACACTAACATGCGTTTTGGTGCTTTTACCTGGGCAGCTTCAAGCAAGCAGTCTTTTGACTTTAATGGCAATGTTTCTTGTTTTGAGATCTACTCATGCTTTGGTGCTGATATAACACATTACTCTGCTACAAAACAAAAGGGACAGGTTCTCATTCCTCCTTATGAGGTCTTCAAAGTCACTGATGTCCTGACAAACGACCCATGGTGCAGTGTGGTCTACAAGCTACAGAGCACCAAAGCACCAAGAAGGGATTTGAATTGTATATTGAATCAAAAGCAATTAAAAAGATATGTTGAAGTTTATTTAAGATACTTGTATACATGGAGTGCTTGGATGATGTTAGCATACATATTGCTGTTAATAATAATCTCTGTAGTCCTTGTACAACGCAGGCAGAAGCGTTTTGTGGCTGTAGTGCTGGGGGCTCTTCTGGTAATGATAGTTATTCTGGTGATATGGAGAGTTGCTATTTGATAAAAGACGGTAGATGGTGTGTATCTGGGGTACTTTTTCATGTGTTGTTGGTCACTGAGAGAATTCACAATCTATGTTTGAAAGTAATAAGGAAATACAAATGTTATGTCACTGAAACTAAACAAATACAAGAAATAAAAAATACTAAGAAACTCTCAAATCGTTTCTGTTAATTGTTGATATAAACACTAATAATTCCGCTGAAAACTATTTATAGAAAGAGTAAATACAGCAGAGACCATACCAAAAAAGTTTTTTTTAACAATCTTTGCTTATGTTGAACTAAAATACTCCTTGGGTGTTTAGCTTTTCTTTTCTTGGGCTTATGTGTGATTGCCAGATGTACAGAACCATCTTATCAATTACATTTTAACAGGAAGTGAGTTTACTGGGTGTTTCTCAATGTCGAGTACACTTGCTTGGTAGCACATGCCTTCCGAGTCACTTGCTTCAGAAGCGAGGCAAGAATACTTCCTGGCATTCGGAAAATGAAGAGTAGAACAGGCAATGTGGTATATTTTCTTTGTCCAATTACTAAGAGACGTTTTAGACCTGTATTGTTGTAATTGTTAAAAAGAAAACAACTGCTTCTGCTTAATACTAGTCATTAAGCTGCTAAATGCTATAATGTGGCTTGTCTGTTCTTATTTTTCAGTGTCATGCTTAATTCAAATGCTTACTCTAACATTTACAAAAAAATTGAATATCCCCCTTGGGGGACTAATAAAGGTCATCTTCTCACACCCTTACCCTATCAGCTGGTGGTAAAAGGCATCTGTTACAGTCACACTATAACATATATATTTCTAAATGTTAAATAAAGAAGGTGTGATGTGTTGGTATGTCAGCTTTGACAAAGCTGGGCTCAGTAAAATAAGTAATGTTTTAGTAATATGTTTGGCTGCTGACTATAACACACTACAGTTTTTTTCAATTGCTTACACGTCTTTTTGAAAACATGGCTAATTTTCTCAAAACACCTAACAAAATTAACAAAACCACAAAGTGCAAAACACCTCATATATCCTGCAGAATGACTTACTGCACTGAACCTGTTTAGGCTCTTTTTTTGAAAAAATATTCAATCTTTAATGAACACGAGGCCGAGGTTCTCATCTCTCCATATGAGATGTTCATCATTTCTAATATAATTAATGAGTAACAGCTACAAATGAAAGGTCTGGAAGATTGTTATGTTGTCCACTTGTCCTTGTCTTGGAGGGTCGAGGAGCAAAGAGCGATCTTAACTGCATGATCGACAAACTTCATGCTTAGGGTTTGTTTGGTCATTGTGGGTTTATGAATGCTAAATGACTACCAGTCAATAAACCAACACACTCTCACTCCATAATCGTCCAGGAGCGACGTTTGGTCAGGGTCCCGTGGCGTGCAGTTGTGACGCTCCTAGGCTCCTTCAGCTTCATAAAGGGACGCAAATAGCTTTCAACTGATTGCAATGTATTCCCATCTGCGGCGTGTTTTGACGCTCATGGAAGCACGGCATTCGTTTGTGTCGGCTGCCCTTAAAGGCAATGTGAGCGTCCATTCCCATTGGATAACGGAGAATTGTACACCCGGAAAAAGGTATTCCCCTTACTGTCTATTGATTTTACAGTGATATCTGCACTACTCATCGACTAAAAAACACCAGATTATCCTTGTTAATTACACAACATTGATTGGTTTAAATTGTGTGCAATGCTTTTTTATTTTTCTCCTTCGATTCGGAGAAACAAATATTTTTTCGGAGTAAAGGATGGCAGAAGACACTACACTACCCAGAATCCCCAGCTATCATTTAGGACTACACCATCTGCTCTGTTTGACAAACCCCGTGATTAGTTCTCAAGCTCTGTGATTGGTTGACCTCCAACTGCATTCCAATGAAAAAAACGTTTCGTAAAAGATAAAATCATACTTTATTCAGCAGTGCTTGCTTTACTCTTTGAAAGTCATCACATGAATGCATTGTAATAAATGGTTCGGCAGCATTATTATTACACATCTGTTGTAGTTCTTTATTTTTATTTATCTACAGAGATTGGGCTCAGAATAGACCGGAAACTATTCTTTTACCGTTCAGTTTGAATTTCACAATAAAGTTAACAGTAATATTTTGTTTTGATATTATTGTTTTTTATTAACTACTAGACCGCTGGGTCATGTTAAGACCATCTTTTCTGTGTTGCTGTGGGTTTTTTCCATCGCTTTTGTGTTACAAATATCAAAACAATAACTAAATATATCCGTCGTAAACTAAACCAGAAACAGCAGTATATTTTATTTTGTTAACACTGTAAACTTGACAGCTTTTTAACCCAAACCACCTACTGGTTAAAAGCACGTTATTACACGTTTAGAGTAATGCAATGCAGGTAGATTGTGTTGCTTTTTAATGACTTTTTAAAATGCCTTTTTCTTAATGTCTTTTATTATTATTAACTACTTGTTACTTGTTGCTAGGGTCGCTGCTATCGATATTGTGTTTCGCAACATGTTCTCTATCTATGGCACGTCTCTACTGGGAGTTGTAGTTTTAAAAGACGTTTTCGTATTTCCCATAATAAGAAGTTGCCAGTATACTGTGTACATCCATGGAGGTTTAGGGGATAGGAAACACTCAAATTTAAAACATATAATTAATAAATGGGTGAAAATTGCTTGTGCCCATAATGGGCAGCATTAATATATATACCCACATGCCAGCTAAGGTCAGAAGAGCTTTATTTAACAGCTGGTCTTATGTCTGTGACCCCTCCTGTTGTTAATTGATAACATTACATTACATTA